CAGGCTAGCTGGAGAGATTCTCAAGTGAGGCTTTCCCAGTGGCTAGTGAATGGACTTCCTGCTGAAATTCTGAACACAAACAACAGGAACCACATCCCTTAAATGCCCTCTGATATTCTTATCTGCTTTTCCTGATCTCCTATCTCCACTCAGTCATGGAAGTCCTGCCCCAATACTCTGGGTGCTCTGGGAGAGAAATGAGTTTCTCCATCAGCATCCCACATAGGTGGGGATACTAGGGACTAACTCATTTCTGTCCCTTTCCACTTAGGAGAGATTGTCACCAGCTAGCTTATCCCATACTGTGCTTCCTTGAGGGAGGGGTGGTACCAACAAATTTCCTCTTAAAATCTCCTATGCATCTAACCTTGTTTTTGTTGTTTTATTTTTTCCTCCAACATGGTGCTAAAATCTCTTCTCAGTAAACCAGGGCTTCACAAATGCTCTTTCATCCTTGGGTGTCTGCCCAAGTCATCCCACTTTGGGTGTTCCTCAACTGCAACCAAGAAAGGCTGAAGCCAGTTCACAGACTCCTGCTGGTTCCATGGCCCACAAAAACATCTGTCTACCTTTTACCCAGTGTACAAGTGGGAAAGACTCCTGGGATCCCTTGGGGTATGATGCTGGATCCCCCAACTCCTAGACAGGCAGTTTTGTTTGTGGCTTAATAGTGAATTTTAGCTGTTATACAGGTGGACAAAAAGGAGGAACATTTTATGCTGCCACAATTCTCTTGTTCACCTCTTTCATGTCTTTGCTTGAATGTATCCTTCCTAATGAGGTCTTCCTGGACAATTTGTATAAAATCATCACTCCCAACACTTCCACTCACTAGCCATACTCAACTTTTCTTCCATTGCACGCATAATCTTCTAGTATATATATAACTTACTAATTGATCTTGTTTATTGTCTGTGTTTTTCTTTCTCTGCTCTAGTATATAAGCTCCATGAAGGCAAGGTTCTTCATTTTTGTTCACTAATATATCCTTTAGCTAAAGAAAAAGTGCCTAACATTTAGTAAGTGCTCAGTAAATAATATTTTATTAGATTAAAAATGGGCATTTTTGGAATTATGTGAAGAAAAAGTGTCTCTATGTATGGAAACACATATGTAAATTCTTGAAAGCCCAGCAGTGAAATCTAATGGAGATCTATCAGTTTCATGTGTTCAGCATCCCACTTTCAGGGAACTTTCTCTCTCTGACTCCATGTAAACCAATTGCGGAAATGAATTACAGGAAGTTATCCCCTTGACCACAGGTTTGTGCATGTGACCTCACTGAGGCAAAGTATTTTCTCTCACCCAGGATTTAAAAACATGAGTAGACAGAGAGGGCTAGAAATCATCCAATGACAATTCCTCAAAAGGTGATTAACAAGATCCTACAGCTGAGAGTTTTGGGGTTGCTCTATTTCCTTCAAAAGGCCTGGCTATTGAATCTTTCTTTATGTACATGAACTGTCCACAAACCTTCAAAAAATTATAAGTTTTGCTTACTTAAATTAACCTTATTTGGTGTGAAATGTCTGAGATTTTGCACTAGTTGTAAGCTAAGAAGTTAGTCTGTTAAAATTTCATGGAAGTTGGTAGAAGTCCCCTAGGTCAAAGGCAAAATACAGTTTATTACTTACAGTAATTGCAGTAGCAAGAGTATTAAAACTTGTGATGAGCCCCAAACTCATGAGGAAATGTGATTCCTGTACATACAGTAGTGTGTGTTACAGGAGAGTGACCCAGAGAACAGGTGAACAAGACAGTCTTAACCTTTCCCTCTGCTTGACTAAACTTCAGACAGACTTCTTCCTGACTCTAGACCTCTGACCTCTCTTTTATTATATCTTTTCATTTTATTTATTTACTTTAAAGCACTAGTAATTGTAAATTGTTTCTCTGTCCTTCTGAAATATAAACCTTTTTAAAAGCCTCTCGTCAGGATTTTTCTTTAAACAAATAGCCTTTCTCTTTTCTTAAGGTATGCTTTTTTTGGTGAGGAAGCTTGGCCCTGAGCTTACATCGGTTGCCAATCTCCTTCTTTTGTTTTTTTTCTCCCCAAAGCCCTGGTACATAGTTGTATATGCTAGTTGTATGTCTTTCTAGTTCTTCTATGTAACATGCTGCCGCAGCATGGCTTGATGTGCAGTGTGTAGGTCCACACCCGTGATCCTAACTGGTGAACCCCAGGCTACCAAAGAAGAGCATAGGAACTTAGCCACTATGCCACCGGACCAGCGCCCTCTTATCAGTTTTACAACTCAGGAGTGTCGTTCTAAGGACCTGGAAAACATCCCTTTGAAATATAATCATCAAGGAAGATGCTGTTCTTATATTCCAGTTTCTACGGAAGAGTAGGAACCTAACTTTGATGGGTGCATTGCTACAATTTATAAAACTACTTCCTGTCATAAAGCAATGGAAGTTTATTTTTCCTTTTAATAAAGTCAATTAGCAGATACAAATGACCTAAGTTCCTCCAGTCCATTTCCACTAACTCATCCCCGCCTTTAAAAATCTTGTCACTCTTTGTTATAGCAGAGTTGCCAAGTTTAGACTGAGTTCTGGTCTTTCTCCTCTGTTAACCTTGAATAAAGTGTCCTTGGCCTGTTTATCATTGTCTAGCACAGTTTGCTTTAACACAGGGAACCAAAATCTTTTATTTGGAGGAAGATTAGCCCTGAGCTAACATCTGCCACCAATGTTCCTCTTTTTGCTGAAGAAGATTGACCCTGAGCTAACATCTGTGCCCATCTTCCTGTATTTTATATGTGGGACACCTGCCACAGCATGGCTTGATAAGCAGTGCATAGGTCTGTGCCTAGGATCCAAACCAGTGACTCCCAGGCTGCCGAAGCAGAGCATGCGAATTCAACTGCTATGCCACTGGACTGGTCCCTGTGGAACCCAAATCTTTTATGTGGGCAATAAAAAAACTTATCTACAGAGAACAACAACATCTCTCTCTTCTAAGGCTGTTACAATAGGAATACTAAGGAACAGGTAAAAGTTAAATAAAAAAATCACTCAGGAGACCCACACATAAAGAAGATAGTAGGAAATTAGACCCATAAAGTAAGAGAGATGAAAATTTTTAAAAATCACATTAGTGTGAGGCTGCTGTGGAAAATATTCTATGCACTAGTGTTGGACACAAAACTCAGTCACTTTTATGAAAGTTGACCAAGGTGTTAAGTGGAAAGCCTATTTCTGGAACTTCCTCTTTAATTACTGCAATTTCCTACAGTATAGAATTTAATTTTCTAATATCTACATGCTTTATATTTAGAAACTTTAAATTCTAGATGGCTCCTCCAAATTTTTTTTAATGCATCTGGCATAACAAAACAGCACTATTCTAGTAAAATTCTGTGTGCTGTCCTAATCAACCAGAATTGCATCTCTGCTCCCCATGGTGTGTTTTTCTGAAATTCAACATTGAAGCTGAATTTAACCCGTTGATAAAATCTAATAGGTAGCCACAAGAATGCCAATTAATTTCTCTTTTTATATGTTTAATTTATAAAACATATAAAATCTGTGACAGAAGGATATAAGTAATTTCTCAAATAGGTAAAAAGGAACATTATAACAAAGTGTCAAAAGTAGAAAAGAAAAGATAAATGATAAAAATAGAGTGAAATGATTTAGATGAGAATGGTCATAAACAAGGGAATCATGATTTGGGCCTATGAATGGGCCTTGGGTAATCCATAAACTCCTTAAATTGTAAGCAAGTTTCCCCTTCCTATGTGCATGAGGATAATCTCATGTTGGGATATTGCTTTCAACAGATTGTCAAAGAAATATCTGTTGCAAGATGTGGACTAGGATTAAGGTGATTAACCATGACTATACCACTGGTTAGGCCAATGGCTTGACTCTTTACAAAAAAATAACTTTTTGGATTCAATATTTACCAATAAACCCCATCATAATACCTTATTCTAGAGTAAAAACAGGCATCAGTGGCACAGGGTGTAAACAAGGGAGTTTTTCTGACCTAGTTTCAATTGAGGCACAAAAGCAATGGGAGCAAAATGTGCCAACTTTCAAAAAAATTAAAAAATTCAGTTAATAGGATATTGAAATACATTCTTTGGAGGAAGCTACTGGAGTTCTTGACACTTCATATTCTCTCATAAGGAGTACCACTTCAAAACTTTGTGCCACCTAGAGTCAAAGGTACAGAGAGGATTGGTATCTGATTCTACGTGAGAAATCTGAATGTAGGAGTCTGTGGCTATTGGTGTGAAGTACCAGAGCTGAGAGAGAGATGTCTGCACTTCATTGGACTGTGGGAGAGGCAAGGAAGCACAAAATTTTATTTCAGATCAGATATGGGCCAGTTGAGAGAAAAAGTCAATCTGAAATCAGTTAAAGTGGATTTGCCCAAGATGACCTCTAAAAGAGATGTGGAGAACTCTCAGAGTTAAGAGGTAAGTTGACAAGCTGTCAGCCAGAGACAGCTTCAACCCTGTCACAAGAAAGGTAGTAAAAGTTCCAAGTAGGAAATGCTTCCAGAAACCCATGAAATCTCAGTGCATAACAAGGACTCAGTGTCCAACATCTGCAAAGTCCTGAGAGCACCATTGCCAGAACATGACTGTAACAGTCAAGTAAGAACATTCCTCCACCTGTTCGTTCCCTCTCCCCGACACAAACCTTGAAGATGGGTCATGAAAGCCAGCAGTGAGAGAAGTGGTGGCTGACAGAGCTAATAAATAAGTGAACCTCCACTGGCCCCAATGTAGGCCTCATGAATTAAAGAATACTAACACCAGAGAAAGGAGAAAATTTTAGCACTAAATGAAGCATAGTGTTTCTGTTATTCCAGTGAATTGAATAAGTGAAATTTGAAGGATATCCTGAGATCTCACCTCAGAAGCTGAAAAATAATTTAAAGGACTTGTGAGGAAAAAAATATATTTTAAGATATGCATCTTATAGAGAATTATCATTTCAATGAATTGGTTATATACATAATATGAATGAAAAAAGGAGGGCATTATTTACCATAGAATCTAAAATATAACAATATTTCAATTATACAATTGTACAGATGCTTTTTTTTCCCAACACTTTCCTGAGAGCAACTTGTACATCCTTGTTTCTGAGACTGTATACCATAGGGTTTAATAATGGAGTGACAATGGTGTATGCCACCGTTACCAGCCTGTCCTTGCTGGACACATAGTTTGCTGTTGGCCTCAGGTAGATGTAGGAAGCACAGCCATAGTGAACAATAACAACAGTGAGGTGAGAGGCACAGGTGGAAAAAGCTTTCCTTCGGCCTTCAGCAGACGGAATCTTTAGGATTGTCCTCAGAATGCAGCTATAAGAAACACAGATGAACAAAAAGGGGACAACAAGTACAAGAACCCCACAGATGAATATGACAAATTCATGAACATCTGTGTTGGTGCAAGCCAGATGAATGACTGGGGAGATGTCACAGAAGTAATGGTTGATCTTGTTGGCACCACAGAAAGGGAGGCTGAAAACTAAATTTGCTATTGTTAGTGAAGCCAAGAAGCCTCCAATCCCACAAGCGGTTGCCAATTTTCCACACACCTGCCAATTCATAAGGATGGGGTAATGCAGAGGATGACAGATGGCAGCATAGCGATCATAACCCATCACTCCCAATAGTAGGCAGTTGGTAATAGCAAAACCAAGGAAGAAGAACATTTGAATGGCACAACAGATGAAGCAGATTGTTTGGGCCACAGAGAGGAGATTGATGAGCATCTTGGGAAGGATGACAAAGGTGTAGAAGGTCTCTGATGTTGAGAGAATGCCAAGGAAGAAGTACATTGGAGTGTGGAGGCTTTGATCTTGACGGATGACACTAACAATAGTGACATTACCACTGAGAATAACTAGATATAGAAAGAGAAAAACCACAAAGAGGGCAAGCTGAATTTCACCAAGGCTCGAAAAACCCAGCAAGAAGAATTCAGTGACCATGGTGATGTTTTCTGCTGTGACCTGTGAAAAAGAGGGAAGACATAAAACGTATTCAGTACCTAGATTCTCTGATTCACTAACCCACTTTTTAAAAACTCTGTGACTTCATGGACACACTCAAATAATATAGGAAAATCTATCTGCAAATGAGTGGATCAGCAAACTTAATTCCATCTCCAATTTTAATTCTTCTTTTTCATGTAACCAAACTTATTCGTGTATTCCAGAGATTATAACATGTACGTTTTTGGAGGGCCATTATTCTGGCTACTACAACTTTTGTTGCTACTGGTTCCATTGAGTGGATTCAGACTTCTAGAGACCCTATATACAGCACAGTGGAACTCTGTCCAGTCTTTTTTTGTGCCATCCTCCCATCTTCCGGCACTATATCAGACAATGCTTTACTTTTATTTGAGGGTTTTCACTGCTAATTTCTTTTTTCCAAAGTGGGTGGCCTAGTCCTTCTTCTTAGTCTGTCTTAGTCTGGAAGCTCTGCTGAAATCTATCCACCATGAGTGACCTTGCTGGAATTTGAAATACCAGGGGAATAGCTTTTATGCATTACGCAACTCACACCCATCACAGTATGGCAACTGACAAATAGGTAGCGTGGTTCCCTGAATGGGAAATAAACCTGGACCATTATGGTGAGAGCACCAAATCTTAACCTCTAGACCACCAGGGCTGGTTCTACTAGCAACATAAAATCCAAAAATGAAACAACACAATTCTGCTTATAATCCTATCAAAAATATATTTAGGATTAAAATTAACAAATGAGGAGCAAGACAGATTCACAGAAAACTACCAAACACTGTTGAGAGGAATTAAAGAAGAATTAAATAAATGAAGAGATATCATATTCCTTGGCTTTAAAAACTCAATATTATTATGAGGCAGTTCTGAGCAAATTGGTCTTTAGATTCAGCATAATTTCTGTCAACTCGCAGCAGACTTTCTTGTAAAAATTGACAAAGTGGGGGCTGGCCTGGTGGCATATTGGTTAAGTTCCCACACTCTGCTTCAGTGGCCTGGGGTTCCTGGATGTGGACCTACACACCACTTGTCAAGCCATGCTGTGGTGGCATCTCACATACAAAATAGGGGAAGATTGGTGTAGATGTTAGCTCAGGGAGAATCTTCCTTGCTAAAAACTAAATAAATAAGTAAATAAATAAGCTTTAAAAAAATTGACAAAGTGATCATAAAATGTATATGAAAAGGATTCAGAATAGCCAAAATAATTGTGAAAAAGGAGAGTAAAGATGGAGGACTTATACTTTCGGATTTCAAAACTTACTCTAAAGATGTAGTAATCGAGAAAGTATGGTACTTGCATGTATTTATACATATAGATCAATGGATAGAACTGAGAGTCTAGAAATATACACTTCAAAAGCTACCATTATGAAAATGAAGAGAGCACTACACATAGAGGAAAATGTATTTGCAAAATATGTATCTGACAAGGGATTTGTATCAAAAACATATAAATAATTTTTACAATTAAGTAATAAGAGAAACATGCAGTTCAAAAAATAGGCAAACACTTTCAATAGACATTTCATCAAAGTGTATCAGTGGCTAATAGGTATATGAAAATTGGTGCAACATCATTAGTCATTAGGGAAATAGAAAATAAAACAACAATGAGATGACTGTTCACATGCACTAGAATGAGTTTAACTAAAATGATAGACACTAAAAGGTGCTAGTGAGGATATAGAGAGACTAAAACTCTCATATTGCTGATGGAAATGTAAATATGCAGTCACTTTTGAAAATGGTAAAGCAAACACCTAATTTTTTTTTAATGGTAAAACAAACTTGCCTAATGACTTATATACCTGAGAATTTCATTCTTAGGAATAAACCAAAGAGAAATGAATACTATCCACCCAAAGACCTTTATGTGAAAGTTCATAACAGCATTATTCATAATAGACAAAAGAAGAAAACTATCCAATTGTCTATCAAAAAGTGAATTTATGGATAAACAAAATTTAGTATAGCCATGAAATTGAATACTATTCAGCAATAAAAAGAAATGAACTATAGGTACATGCCACAATATAAATGATCTTCAAAAATATTATGTTAAATGAAAGAAGCCAGGTGCAAAAGACTACACATTTCAAATTCTATTCATATGAAATGTCCAGGAAAGGAAAACCTACGTCAGTAGAAAGCAGATTAGTAGCAACCTGGGAATAGGATCAAATAGGATTTGACTGCCAACAGTCAAGAAGTATCGTTCTGGGTTAATGAAAATGCTCTAAAACTGCATTGTGGTGACAATTATGCAGCTCTATTAATTTTTACAATCAAAATGGGTGAATTTCATGGTATGTTAAGCTATTTTAAAAAGGTTATTTTGGAGGAAATTCATAGATATAATATTGACTATTTAATTTTTCATATATGAGTGTATTTTAATCACTAAATAAAAACATTTGGGACATTAGGATTCATTTAATTTTCATCAATTGAGTCTTTCCCTGGGATCTTTATGTGCTTCAGGAACACATCATATATTCAAAAATTTGGGGTAAAATAATTTTAAATTGTTAATTATTTACATTTCTAGTCTGAAAACTTAGAGTTTACCATGCCAGTAATGCCCAATTCTATCTCCAAGCCCCAGGTAATATAGCCATAAATATATACAAAAAACAGAAGAGAATATCAGATAACTGAAGAATATTGAGAAAGAGGTTCTATCAAATTCAATACAGATGGGTTAAAGTCAGGTTGAAAACAACTATTTATTTCATGTTTACCCTCCTTGAACAGCCACCATATAGACATTCAATAAAGATAAGAACGTATTTTTCAGCTGATTCAAACTGATAAGACCAAAAGTCTCATTATCTGTATTTATATATGGCATAGCTATACTCCTAAGTAACTAGAATTATCCCTATCATCTTTAATTTTCACTTCCCTTACCCATCAACATCTCTGTTTATAGATATGTGTGGAGTCCACCATGCTTAGATCAAAATGTGGTCCGTTTTAGAGTAACTTAATTCTGATACATAAACTACCTTTAGAACAAACTTTGTATATGAGGCATAGGGGCATGAAAAGCAATGTAAACTGGGGTCAAAGTTTGCTATAGTCTTTTCTGTAGTAAAAATGTGAAGAAACTTAGAGTACTTTTAAAGTCTTTTTCAATGTGTTAATGAATATTGGTCTGAGAGAAATCTATCTTTGATGAAGGATTAGGAAAAAGAAAAAAGCCCAAAGCAACATGGTGTAAAACATACTAGAACACACAAAAAAGGAAGAATAAACCTAAAGACTTGAAAACACTTCAAATCATGCAAATATTTGATAGAACTCAGCAAATGACAGCTCTACAACAAAACATGACAAAAAAATAACAAAAACATCCACAAACAGAAGAAAGCTCTAGCAAAATTAACCAACATTAATTAAATATAGTTAAATGAAAGAGAGAAATACTTTCAAAGATTAGAGAGAAAATAATAGACATAGAAGAACGGCAAAGCAGATGCAACATGCACAGAATTGGAGTCTGTATAAAACAAACTCAATATTTAAAACTAATAAAGAAAACTTCCCTGAAATAAAAAAAGATCAGCATCTACACGTTGAAATGATCTGTCATCCTTTCACCTTATTATTATATTTAAATATAAGGAACAGTGATCTGTGCCTTTGAGCAAAAATGCTGATCACTAACAATAAAAAGAAAATTATGTAGAAATCATATTCCTCGGCAGCAATATATCATGCATGATGAGAATGTGGAGATTTTCAAGAAATTCAAGGAAGGAAGGTTTGATCCAAGATTTTTATTCATAGACATACTGTCCTCATATACAAAAGATATAGCAAAATAGTTTTAAATATGGTAAAACTTCAAGAATATTAAAACCACTAACTTTTCTTGATGAAGTCACTAGATGAAGACATCTATTCACCCAATGATGTCTGGTGCATCTTTGGCCAATGGTCTAGTGGTGGACTTTAACTAAATATACTTAACTGTAGATTCAAGTAGCATGTAAATGTTATGTACTTGACAAAGAAAGAGTAGCACATTTAAAAAATAAGAAGAGAAAGAACAGAGAAATGGTGAAGTAGCAAAAGCTTATTTACTACTCCACAAGTAATAGATGAGACACAACTGCTATCATTTAAAACTGATCAAACAAATAGTGAATGCCTAAGAAAAAGGACTAAAGATTTAAAAAATCAGATGTATTCTCAAAGCGGAACTTAACTCTGTGCATTATATAAGACACATCTATAACAAAATGATTCAGGAAGGGTGAAACATGAAGAGCAGAGAAATTATACCCAGCACACAGAAACCAAAAAATCAAGGGTTATGATCTTGATTTTTGACAGTTTAAAATTCAGACCAGAAGCATTACATGAAGAACAACAAAAACAACAAAAGATACTTTTAATGCTAACATCTACAATTCACAATGAAATTATAATAGATTTGAACTTGTGGCCCCCCAAAATAGAGGTACAACCTTCATAAGAAAGAACCTATAGACTATTTACAAGCAGAAACAGGTAGACACGCTAATAATGAGTAGTTTTAATAACGCTCTCTGGTCAAAGCAAATCGAGAAGAAAAATATAACTAACAATTTAGGAAACCTAAACAGCAAAATTAGTAAGGTATTTCTTATAGGATAGTGAACTTTGTATTCCAATAAAAGAGTATATACTTTCTTTTCAAACTGCAGGAAATATTTATGAATATTGACTATATATTAAGTCACAACAAAAATGTCATGCGATGTCACAAATTGAAAAGAATACAAACATATTTCCTAATCCCATGTAATGAACTGCTAATGGATAATAAAGTAAAAAGGCTCTTCCATCTGATAATTTTAAGACACTATCAAGCAATTGTTGGGTCAAAGAGTAAATACAAAGTAAAATAAAATAAGTTCTACAAAATAGTGTCAATTATATTCTACATATTAGAATATAGGGCTAAATTATTTTACCAAAATATATATACAAACATGAATTATATTTATATAAAATTAAATTATATATTATAAATACAAATTATATAAATATATATAAATATACTGCATGTTAAAATTAGACCCTCAACAAATTAGTAGTAGTGATTTGGATTACATGACCAGCAACAGAAATATTTGCTAATAGGATTACAAATTGGTTATAAATTTAGGGAAAGAAATTGAGCAAAATATATCAAAAACTCTTAAAGTACAGTCATTCCATTTTTTTCCAGTAATTCCATTTTTGAAAAGCTACTCTACCATAACAGATTTCTGCAGAAAGTTATATTTATGGTAAGGAAAATTTGGTAGTCAAATATGGTCTCCTAGTATTAGGTTTAAGAAGGCTGTATTATGTGAAGGATGAAAGTGTAGAATCTGAAGATAAGCAACTTGAATTTGGGTCCAGTTCTTCCGTTTGGGGACTATGTGACCTTGGACAAGTTACTTCACCTGTCTTTGTTAAAGTTTCTTCATCTGGACAAGAGTAGATGTGAGGAGTAAATGTTTTTGTGTATGTAAAGTGCTTAAAAGGGCACCTACTACATAGAAGGCATGCTACTACTGGTGTTATTTTCTTTGGCTATTATTTTCCTTGCTGTTTCCTTTCTAAACAAATCAGCCATTCTAAGACAGTCATTTTGAAATCTTGTGCTTATTCCATCACTGAGATTATAGAATCAAGTTAGTGGTCAACACCTGCAGTTTTAAAATCCAAATAGAATAGATGAGAGAAGCAGAGAAGACACTGGGGGAAGTACACAAGGTAGGAGTAGCCCTTATCTAAAGTGAATGTTTTGTTTCAGTTTGTGTGTGTGCATGTGCTCATGCATGCCAGGTGGCAATTAAACGATATTTCTTACTTTGTCTTGCAGGTGGAGCTATGAACACACGATATACAACACAATGGACTGATGGCTTTTTTGGAAAATGAGCTTTCTTTACCTCTTCAGGCCCCCTGGTTCCCATATCTGGTGTTTTTAACAAGATTGATTCTTCTCTACAGGCTGAACTCTGGAATCTGAAGACATTCAGGTGTCTAAAAAGAAAAATAAATATCCACGATACTGTTTATTGTCAATATTGTTTGCCTTTCCTATCTCATAGTAGGGCCTGAAGAGGAAATTAGAAGGGACAAATCCATTCAAGGCAGGAGTCTATCGATTTTTGCTTCCACTGCTTTTGACCTGGGAAGGTCATCTGGAAGAGATTATTTCAAGAATTCTTTGGGAAGCAAGGACACAGGGTCTTGAGAATGAGAGGCGTGGCAGTGCAGACACAAACAGCTTGGAAAAGGTGGCAAGAAATAGGAGAATAAATAGCGAAGTGAGAATTGAAACAGTTCAACTGGGAAGTGGTGAATGCAGAGACATTAAAATTTTCTTTTAATCAATTCACTTCTTACTCAAAACCTTGTAATGATCTCTTCAAACTTTATAATATTCCCAACTCTTTAGCAAAAAAAAAAAGGGGAGGGTGAGATATTGATAATCTGGTTTCTCACTACACTCCAAATTCATCTCTTCCATCTCCCACATTTTATCCCAATATTTTAATCACACGGAACTTCATGTAGTTCATTGAGCATTCAGTGAGCCATGTCATATCACAGCAATGCCTTTTCCTGTTTAGGGCAGATCATCTGAACTCTCAGGAAAGAGCAAATCATTTGCTCTCAAGTCTCATTCCTGTAGCACTTTTTCCAATTCAAAAACTATTTATTGAGTACATACTAAGTCACAACCACTCCATTAGGTGTTTGCGATACATCAGTGAACAAAACAAAGATTCCTGCCCTCGTGAAACATAAATTCTAGAACCTCTCACATTTTAGATAATTCCCTTGCCCAGGAAAATTCGAGTTCTTGGAAAACAAAGACCATGTTGTTGTTCATTTGACAAAAGTTTATGTGCCAGGCACCATGTATTCACATGCATCTCTCCAAGCCCATGAGCATCAGAGTTCCTAGCAAATAACAAATATTCAAAATCAATGTGAGAAAATCAATGATTACACAAATTAATACAAGAATAAATCATTGTAACTGATTCATAAGTATTTGTCATGTGGCTGATAGAGGTGTTAAATGAGCAAGGAAGTTAAGGCACAAATTCACATATTTATTTTAGTAGCATTATTTTGAGAAAATAACTAAATCTTTCTAAATCTCAATTTTCTTTTCTGCAGTTTGGGATATTATGAGGATTAACGAGCAGATAAGTAAAAATTGTAGCCCAGAATTACACATAAGGAGCCCTAATTATTTCCTTCTTTTCTTCCTTCTTGAAATTGATACTAGGGATATCTTCTATGACCATTCTGCAACATCTCTAATGTTTTCCTTTTTTAATCTTAAGACCTCAACCTGAGCACTATCTTGTTTTCCCATCCAGCTACTTTCCCTATTATCACCCCTCAATCCTTCACTATCATTATATATAGATCACAATTCTAAAAAGATCTCAATAATTTCTGAATTGAATATAAAAGGAAAGGTATAACTAGTTATTATCTACGAGTTAGCATAAATATGCTATAAGATTTTAGATCATTTAATGAGTCATATTCCTGAAGCTATTTATGACGTAAGGAAAAACAAGTCACCAATGTCAAAGTTTCACTTTCCCCAAAATGTGAATCCTAGGGTACAGTGGAATCCAGTTGTCCTATCTCCTAATCATGGCCCAGGACCTTTAAGGAAATTCCCAAGAACTTGCCACAAATAGCACCAGTCCTAGTGTATTACAGATCTTCCTCCCATTCTCTTAAAATTTTACAGTTAACAAAAAACCACCAGTAACAAAAAACTCACCATCGTATTCCCTGAACAGAGCTCATTGTGTCTCTTCTGAATGGACTGACCCAGCTAAACCTTGATGAGTATTATTAACAGGCATTTCTCTGGTTATGAACATTAGTGGTAATTGGTAATTTTTCTACCCAGCACCCTAGGGAGTCATTACCATATTCCTCCTGAAACAGGTCCTGCCTTCCCTCAATTAGAAACTACGATCCAGGGGGAAAATTGACCTCACAGCTCTTTTGCCAAAAGATAAACCATGCAATAGACTAGGGGAATTTGCTAGTTTCCTATTTTATATGCCCCAGTGAGGTAACTCGTTAAAAATCTAGAAGATGCTGGACACTGTTAACCCTCTCCCATGGGCATTCTCCTGTAGTTCCTGATTTTCATCCTTTGCTTGGAGGCAAGAATTCCCATGATTTTCTACCTTGCACTCCAGCCTCTATTCCAAAGAAGAATATGTTTTTAGAAGTGACAGAGCAATGGACTGGTGTAGGTCCAGCAGTGACAACAGCAAAAGCAAATCTGGGGGATGCAATCCAGTGTGGAAGTACTCAGTTGCAAGGCCTGGAGACGCTATTTGCATATTTATTCATTCCAAAAGCATATACTTAGTTCTTAATTCTATCATGAAACGTTTTTTTTTTATTCAGGTATAATTGACATACAATGTTGTATTAGTTTCAAGTGTCCACCATAATGATTTGATAATTGTATGTATTGTGAAATGATCACCACAATAAGTCTAGTTAACATCCATCACCATACACAGTTACAATATTTTTATGTGTGATTAGAACTTTTAAAATTTACTTTCTTAGCAACTTTCAAACATCCAGTACATTCTAGTTACCATGATGTACGTTACATCCCCATGCATTGATTTTATAACCCTACCTTTATTTTGTACCTTTTTACTCCCTTAACCCATTCCACCCACTTGCCACCCTCCACCTTAGGCAACCACCAATCTCTATTCCCTGTATCTTTGAGCTTTGTTTTTTCTTTTACTTTGGGGTTTTGTTTTAGATTCCACATAAATGAGATCATATGGTATTTGTCTTCTCTGCCTGACTTATTTCACATAACAGAATGCCCTTAATATCCATACATATTGCTGAAAATGTCAAGATGTCATTCTTTTTTTATGGTTGAATAGTATTCCATTGTATATATATAACACATTTTCTTTATCCATTCACCCATTGATGGACACTTAGGTTGTTTCTATGCCTTGGCTATTGTAAATAATGCTGCAAAGAACATGAGGCTGCATATATCTTTTCAAGTTAGTATTTTCACTTTCTTCAGATAAATACTCAGAAGGGGAGTTGCAGGATCATATGGTAGCTCTAGTTTTAATTTTTTTGAGGAACTTCCATACTGTTCTATAGCGACTGCGCCAATTTACATTCCCAAGAAGAGTACATTCCCACAAGGGTTCCTATTTTTCACATCCTCACTAGGATTATTTTTGTCTTTTTGATAATAGCCATTCTAACAAATGTGAGGTGATATTGTGGTTTTGTTTTGCATTTCCCTGATGATTAGTGTTTTTGAGCACCTTTTCACGTACCTGTTGACTATCTATATGTCTTCTTTGGAAAAATGTCTGTTCGTATCTTTTGCCCATTATTTAATCAGTTGTTGTTGTTGTTGTTGTTGTTTTTGCTAAGGAGCTGTATGTGTTCTTTACATATTTTGAATATTAACCCCTTATCAGGTACGTAATTTGCAATTTTTTCCCATTCAGTAGGTTGCTGTTTCGTTTTGTTGATGGTTTCCTTTCCTGTGCAGAAACTTATTAGTTTTGTGTAGTACCACTGTTGTATTTTTGGTTTTTGTTGCCTTTGCTGTTGGTGTCAAATCCAAAATATCATTGCCAAGTTGACATCAAGGAGCATACTGCCTATGTTTTCTTCTAGGAGTTTTATGGTTTCAGGTCTTATATTCAAGTCTTTAATTCATTTTGAGTTAATTTTTGTGCATGGTGTAAGATAGTGTTCCAGTTTCATTCTTTTGCATGTTGCTGTCCAGTTTTCCCCAAGTCGTTTGTTGAAAAGACTGCCCTTTCCTTGTTGTATATTCTTGTCTCCTTTGTCATAAATTAATTGACTATATATGTAGGGTTTATTTCTGGGTTCTCTATTCTGTTCCATTGATCCATGCATCTGTTTTTATGTTAATGCCATACTGTTTTAATCACTGTAGATTTGTAACATAGTTTGAACCCATGGAACTTTATCCTTCCTTTTCAATATTGCTTTGGCCATTTGAGGTCTTTTGTGATTCCATACAAATTTTAGACTTGTTTATTCTAGTCCTGTGAAAAATGCCATTGAAATTTTAATAGAGATCACATTGGATCTATAGATAACTTTGGGTAGTATACACATTTTAAAAATATTAGTTCTTCCATTCCATGATTCCAGAATATCTTTCCATTTTTTTCTGCCTTCTTCAATTTCTTTCATCAATATCCTATAGTTTTCGGTGTATAGGTCTCTTTCATTTCCTTGGTTAAATTGATTCCTAGAAATTTATTCTTTTTGATTCAACTGTAAATGGGATTATTTTCTTAATTTCTCTTTCTAGTATATCGTCATTAGTGTATAGACATACAAGAGATTTCTGTATATTGATTTTGTATCCTGCAACTTTACTGAATTCATTTATTGATTCTAACACTTTTTTGGTGGGGGTCTAGGATTTTCTATGTCTAGTATCATGTCACCCATGAATACTGACAGTTTTACTTCTTCCTTTCCAGTTTGGATGCATTTTATTGTTGTTTCTTGTCTAATAGCTCTGGCTAGGACTTTCAATCCTACGTTAAATAAAAATGGCAAGAGTGGATATCTTTGTCTTGTTTCTGATATTAGAAGAAGGGTTTTCAGCTTTTCACTACTGAGTATGATATTAGCTGTGAGTTTGTCATATATGGCCTTTATTATGTTGAGGTATGTTCCCTCTGCACCCACTTTTGTTTAGAGTATTATTATATATGGATGTTGAGTTTTGTGAAATGCTTTGTCTGCATCTATTGAGATGATCGTATGATTTTTATCTTTCATTTTGTTAATGTAGTGTGTCATGTTGATTGATTTGTGGGTGTAGAACCATCCTTGATTCCCTTGAATATATATTACTTGATCATAGTGTATGATCCTTTTAATATATTGTTGAATTCAATTTGCTAATATTTTATTGAGGATTTTTGCGTCTATGTTCATTAGGGATATTGGCCTGTAATTTTCCTTTCTTGTGATATTTTGGTTTGGTTTTGGTATCAAGGTAATACTGGCCTTATAAAATCAGTTTGGAAGTATTCCATCCTCTTCTATTTTTTGGAAGAATTTGAGAAAATTGACATTAATTCTTTGAATGTTTGGTAGAATTCACCAGCGAAGTCATTTGGTCCAGGACTTGTTTGTAGGGAGTTTTTAAATTACTGATTCAATCTCCTTATTAGTAATTGGTCTGTATAGATTTTACGTTTCTTCATGATTCGATCTTGAAAGGTTGTATCTTTCTAGGAATTTATAATGTTTTTTAGGTTGTCCAATTTTTTGGCATAGAATTTTTTGGCATCAAAATCTCTTATGATCCTTTGTATTTCTGTGGTTGTAATACCTGCTCTTTCATTTTTGAGTTTATATATCTTTGCCCTCTCTCTTTTTCCTGTTGAACTTAGCTAACAGCTTGTTAATTTTGTTTATTTTTCAAAGAGCCAGATCTTGATTTCATTGATCTTTTCTATTGTTTTTTCAGTCTCTATTTCATCTCTTTCTGCTCTGATCTTTATTATTTTCTTCCTTATACTAATTTTGGGTGTCATTTGTTCTTTTTCTAGTTCCTTGAGGTGTAAGGTTAGATCACTTATTTGAGATTTTTCTTGTTTCCTGAGGTAGGAATTTATAGCTTTGAACTTCTCTCTTAGAACTTCTTTTGCTGCATTCCATCAGTTTTGATATATTGTAGTCCCATTTTTGTTTGTCTCAAGGTATTTTTTAATTTTTCTTTTGATTTCTTCATTGACCCATTGGTTATTCAGTGGCATGTGGTTTAGTCTCCACATATTTGTGCTTTTTCTAGGTTTGTTCTTGTAATTAATTTCTATTTTCATACAATTGTGGTCAGAAATGATGCTTGATACAATTTTAATCTTCTTAAATTTGTTAACACTTGTTTTGTGGCCTAATACATGCTTTATTTTGGAGAATGTTTTATGTGCACTTATGAAGTATGTATATTCTGTCACTTTTGGATGGACTTCTCTGTATTTATCTATTAAGTCTATCTGGTCTAATGTGTCATTTAAAGCTGATGTTTCCTTATTGATTTTGTATGGATGTTCTATCTGTTGATGTAAGTGGGGTAGTAAAGTCCCCTACTATTATTGTATTGTTCTCTATTTCTCCCTTTAAGTCTGTTTATATTTACTTACATATTTAGGTGTTCCTATGTTGGGTGCATATATGTTTATAAATGTTATATTCTCTTGTTGAATTGACCCCTTTATCATTATGTAATGCCCTTCTTTGTTTCTTATTACAGTCTTTGTTTTAAAGTCTACTTTGTCTGACATAAGTATAGCTACTTCAGCTTTCTTTTGGTTTCCATTGGCATGGTATATCTTTCCTCATCCTGTCACTTTTGGTCTACTTATGTCCTTATGCCTAAAGTGAATTTCTTACAGGCAACATATACATGGATCTTGCTTTTTTTTTTTCTTAATCTATTCTGCCACTTTGTCTCTTTTGATTGGATAATTTAGTCCATTTACATTTGAAACAATTACTGATAGGTAGGTACTTGTTGCCATTTTGTTAATCATTTTCTGGCTGTTTTGTAGTTCCTCTGTTCCTTCCTTCTTCTTTTGTTCTCTTTCTTTGTGGTTTGATGACTTTCTCAAGGGATATGCTCAGAGTCCATTCTCATTATCTTTTGTGTTTCTACTGTAGATTTTTGCTTAGTGGTTACCATAGGGCTTATATATACCAATTTATATTTATAATAGTCTTTTTTTGAGTTGGTGACAGCTTAAGTTTGAATGCATTCTAAAGCCTTACATTTTTACTCTCCATCTCTCACATTTTATGTTTTTGATGTCACATTTTGCATCTTTTTATCTTGTGTATTCCTTAGCTCCTTTCTGGAAGAAACTGGCAAGCTGTAGTGAGGCAGAGGGAAGTGCAAAGATGGCATCCTCTGGCCTCCATTCCCTAAGAGCACCTCTGTAGCATCTAAATGTGTGTCCACCCTTAAGCTTTCCCCTAAGGCCAAAGCTCTAGGCCTTTTTTTCACAGAAAGACTGGAGATGTGTTTCAGTCTGATGTCTACGCATTGCCCAGGGAATGCTGACCTGCCTAGGAATGCAAGCCCCTCTGGCCACCAGAACCTGGCAAATAAAGGGGTATCCCCTGGGCAGTAGCCAAAAAAACCAGGCACCAGACATAAAAACTGGTGTGCCAGACACATATAAGGGCTCCCCTCTGAGAGATGCTGGCTCTCTGGAGAATGGCAAAGGGAGAGTGCAAAGCTAGTGTCTGATCACTGAGGTCTAAGGAAAAGTGAACAGTCAACCTTTAAATGTGTGTTTAATTTGAAGCCTGCCCCTCAGGCTGAAGCTATAATGATAAGCAAACAGGCCTGTTTCACAGAAAGATTGAGCTCCTAGGTCTGTTGCTTCTTGCTGTGCCCTGGTGGTGGTAGCTGTTAAGAGCTCTTTCTGTATTAGATACAGTTTTGTGGGACCCATGAGGACAAGCCTCATTGGTCACCAGAGCCAAGTGATGTAGAGGTGTCCCCTAGCAGCAGCTGCAAAAATCGGGAAGCCAAATAAGGTTATAAGTACCTTTCTGGAAGATACCAGCAAGCTGAAACAAGGCAGAGAAAGAAGGCAAAGATTGCATTCCCTAGCCTCCATTCCCTGAGAGCACCTCTGTAGGCCTCTATAATGTGTCAAACCACAAGACTTCTCCTTAGGCCACAACTCCTGGACAAGTAAACAGGCCTCTTTCTCTAAAAGGCTAGGGGTTTGTTTCAGTCGGCTATCTGTGCGGTGCCCTGGGAGTGGTAATCTGTCAGGAACTGTGTCTCCCATTGTTACAGTTCCATGGGACCCAGGAACACAAGCCATCTTGGCCTCCAGAGCTAGGTGATCAAGGGCATCCCCTGGGTACAGCTGCAACGTGAAACATATGGAAATATAAAATACACTGGTAAATGTAAGTATATAGTCAAATCCAGAATACTCTAATACTGTAATGTGGTAGTATGTTAATCACTTACCTCTGGTATAAAGGTTAAAAGATAAAACCATAAAAATAACCATATATACAATAATTTGTTAATGGATAAACAACATAAAAAGATGTAATTCGTGACATCAAAAACATAAAATGTGGTGTAGGGAATAAAATGGTAGAGGTTTGGTATGTGATCAAAATTGTTATCAGCATTAAACAGACTGTTTTAATCCTAGTATGTTCTATTTCAGCCTCACGATAACCACAAAGCAAAAACACCTCCAGTAGATACACAAAAAACACAGAGGAAAGAATTAAAACACACCACTGTGAAAAGTCAATTCACAATATTAGACAATAAGGAAGAAAGAAAGGAACAAAGGACTAGAAAACAGTAACAAAACAATTAACAAAGTAGTAATACTAGGTCCTTACCTAACAATAATTATTTTAAATGTAAATAGATTAAACTCTCCAAACAAAAGTCTCAATGGATAAAAAAAAATAAATAAACAAGACCCAAGTCTATACTGCCTACAAGAAACTCACTTCAGCTCTAAGCACATACAGATTCACAGGGAAGGAATGGGAAAAAAATATTGCATGCAAATAGAAAGCAAAATAGAGCAAGAGTAGCTACAGTGATGTCAGACAAAACAGACTTTAAATCAAAAACAAGAACAAGAGACAAAAAAGGTCATCATATAATGTTAAAGGGGTCAATTCATGAAGGAGCTATAGCAATTCGAAATATATGTACACCCAATATTGGAACACCTAAATATATTAAGCAAATACTAACAGATATGAAAGGAGAATTAGACAACAATACAATAGTAGTATGGGGTTTCGATGCCCAACTTTCACCAATAGATAGATCATCCAGACAGAAAATCCATAATAAATCATTGAACTTGAACTACACTGTAGACCAACTAGACCTAACAAACATAAACAGAACAATTGACCCAAAAGCCAAAAACAGCCAAACTTCCATCTTCTCAAGAAGACATGAAGAACATCCTCCAGGACAGATCATATGTTACGTCATATAACAAGTCTTAAATATTTAAGAAGACTGAAATCACACCAAGTATCTTTTCCAACCATAATAATACGAAACTAGAGATCAATAATGGCTGCCATTCACTCCTGAAGGCCAACGACATTTATTAACACTGAATTTTGATTTATTTTTGTTTGTTTGTCACAACTCCGCCTTCTATGTGCTGAAATGACCTACTAAGAATTTAATATGGCACCAGCTTTGAGAAAACACCTTGAAACAGAAGTATACCACCTTGTGTAAGAAACATAATCTGAAACTTTAATTAGTATATGGTGGGGTTGTTGGAAACCCAAGGAGTGAGATGGAAGGATCAATTCTCAATATTTAACCTCCAATTTTACTCAAAATAATTTCTTCCCAGAGTTTTCTCTCCATTTCACCCAAATTCTCTGCTGGCCTATAGAATTTGGGCCCCAAAGGAAAAACACTTCTTCAATAATGGAGTCATTAGATCAATGAGAACAATTGGTCATTTCAGGTTCCCCAAGCTATTGAAAAAATTAGGAGATAAAGGAATTATGGTGTTGCTTGGGGTGATCTTCCTGACTTTCTGAGGAAATTAGGCTATAGGCTTGTTACAGAGATCAGAAGAAGAGAGGAAATGTTAAGAATGTTTTATCATTCTTTATTGTACTACCATGCCTAGAGATAAGAGAAGACATCTACAGTCCTATGAAGGTAGTTTCTCCAAGGGTTCTAACTTCCAGGAACACATATTTTAATCAAATGCCAACTGAGTACTAGGCTAAGTGAAGTAGGGGAACATAGAAAGGGCAAATGAATAGACTGCTCGTAAATAAATAACAATTATATCACTATAACAATTTTTTTTTAATTTTTTTAATTAAAAATTTTTTTAAATATTTTCCCTGTTAACTTATTTTGCATTCCATGTTCTTGTATTGAAAAGTGTAATGGTAGTGCTTAAATTGAACATCAAGTCCAACAGCTGCATAATATTGAGATGATAGAGCTGTGTTAGAACTAAAGGAGGGATGAACATCACCCACAGGTCCTTACTACAGCTAATTTGTAGTTTGGGATAGTCTCTTCTCAGGAGTAGTGAATACACTTTTTTTTAACCTTGTGTTGTTTGATCCAATAGCCGATTCTCTATCTCCATCATGCTTAATCTGCGAGCAGTTGGATTACCGTAACAGCCTCCTAACTGGTCCCTCTGTTTCTACTTTTATCCCCCATTATGGGTAATAACTGAATTCATCTGCTACCACTCTCTCCTTCCATCTCTCCATTACAGCACATGGTCTCCCTGGACTTCCTAGAACACCCCAGGTGTGCTCCAGCCTTCGAGTCTGCAGTGACTATCGTTATCTGTCATAATATTCTTTCCCAGATGTGCATGCAACTGCTGACTTGCTCACCTCTTTCATTCCTTTGCTTAAATGTCCCCTTCTTAATGAGGTCTCTCTGAACACCCTATTTAAAATCATCACTCCCAACACCTCCACTCTCTCATCTTGCTCCACCTTTCTTCCATAGCACATGCTAATTTCTAACGTGTGATCTCCTGGGAGAGGTCCGGGGCTGGGTAGAACTCCAGCAGCTGGCAACGCGGCCTGGGGGAGAAACTCTGAAGTCCCGCCCCAGGCAGGCAGGGTCTTTGCCTACCATTATCGGAGAGACCCCACCCAGCCTCCAGAACACCTGAGGGCTCTCCCAAATGGCATGCCAGCCCGCCAGCTGCCGAGGCAAGCTCCACTGACCAGGCTCTAGCCCAGGAGAGGCTCGCGACTACTGGAGAACTCCTGGGAGAGGTCTGGGGCTGGGTGGAGCTCCATTGGCGGGCTGCGCGGCCTGGGGGAGAAACTCTGAAGGCCTGTCCGGGCAGCAGGCAGGATCTTTGCCTGCCATTAGCAGAGAGGCCCTGCCCAGCATCCACAACGCTGGGAGGGTCCCAAAGAGGAGAATCTCAGGCAGGGCAGCAGCCGACCAGCTGCCACTGAACTCAAGGTATCCGGCTATCCCCCAGTTAGGGCAATGAGCTCCCTGAGATCCTAGGGGAGAGGACTGGGGCTGGGTGGAGTTCCAGCAACCTGGCTCTGTGGCCCAGAGGGAAACTCTACAGTCTCACAGAAGCCTCAGCGATAGCCTCTGCACAGCACTAGTAGAGAGCACCCATCTGACAACCACAAGGCTGGAAGACCTTGGGACAAAAGTAGCATAGCTAGGGGAGCTACCCACAGACTGTAGAAAATCCCCATAACTCTGCTGTGACCCATAGTGGACAAGTGAGATTTTGTGGGTGCCGACAGTGACAGAGCTGCAAATATAAGTGATCCTGCCCCTGGCCGCTGGGAAAGCCCATAAAACCACTGCAAAACCTAAGGAGGGACCACGTCTAGGTGGTCTGCAACAGTAGGCACCAGCAGTCTGAAGCCCCCCTGTGACGGCCTCCACAGCTGAAGAGGGAACCCACAGGACCACTGTGACTGCATGGAGGGGCCCAGGCCCAGTTAGCAACAGCTGATAGGGTTCCTGGTTGGAGCAGTATAAACAGCTGTCCCCCCACCACACCAGTAGAAACAAGTGGAAGCAGTAACTAAACTCTATCTCTATGTGGAGGCACAAATCTACACCATCAAGCAATATGAAAAAAATATATTAAATCTCCAGAACAGAAGGAAAATGACAAACACACAGAAAACAACCCCAAAGACAATGAAATATACAACCTAAATGATGATGACTTCAAAAAAGCCATCGTTAAAAAACTCAATGAGTTAAAAGAGAATTCAGATAGACAACTCAACGAGTTCAGGAGCTATGTCACAAAAGAGTTTGATACTATAAAGAAGAACCAAACAGAAATACTGGAAATGAAGAACACAGTAGAGGAGATTAAGAATAATCTAGATGCACTGAACAGTAGGGCTGATAATATGGAGAAAAGAATTAGCAATTTGGAAGATAGAAATATAGAAATGCTGCAGGCAGAGGAGGAGAGAGAGCGAAGACTAAAAAGTAATGAAGAAACTCTCCAAGAATTATCTGATGCAATTAGGAGATGCAACCTAAGGATTATAGGTATACCAGAGGGAGAAGAGAGGGAGAAGGGGGCAGAAAGACTATTCAAAGAAATAATGGCTGAGAACTTCCCAAACCTGGGGAGGGAGATGGAACTTCATGTGACAGAAGCCAATAGATCTCCAAACTTTATCAATGCAAGTAGACCAACCCCAAGGCATATAGTAGTGAAGCTAGCAAAGGTCAATGACAAGGAGAGAATATTAAGGGCAGCCAGGCAGAAGAAATTAACCTACAAAGGAACCCCCATTAGGCTTTCAGCAGACTTCTCAGCAGAAACTTTACAGGCTAGAAGAGAGTGGAATGATATATTCAAAAATCTGAAGGACAAAAACCTGCAGCTGAGAATTCTCTACCCAGCAAAAATATCCTTCAAATATGATGGAGAAATAAAAACTTTCCCAGATAAACAAAAATTAAGGGAGTTCATTGCCACAAAACCTCCTCTTCAAGAAATGCTCAGGAAAACCCTCATTCCTGAAAAATCAAAAAAAGGAAAGGGGCTACAAAACCAAGAACAAATGCGATAAGTAGAAGGACAACAACAGAGAGTAGCAGCTCTACATCAAAACAGACTAAACCATGGGACGAGAAACAAAGGAAATTGAAGAGAACTGGAAAACAAGACATAAAATGGCAGTGGTAGGCCCCCACATTTCAATAATCACTCTAAATGTAAATGGATTGAACTCTCCAATCAAAAGACACAGAGTAGTAGGATGGATAAAAGAACAAGACCCAACAATATGCTGCCTCCAGGAAACACACCTCAGCCCCAAAGACAAACACAGAGTCAGAGTGAAGGGATGGAAGACAATACTCCAAGCTAATAATGAACAAAAGAAAGCTACTAATATCAGACAAAGTAGACTTCAAAGTAAAACAGGTAAAGAAAGACAAAGAGGAACAGTATATAATGATAAAAGGGATTCTCCACCAAGAAGACATAACATTTGTAAATATATATGCACCCAACACAGGAGCACCAAAATTTGTAAAGCAACTCTTAACAGAACTAAAAGAAGACATCAACAACAATACTATAATAGTAGGGGACCTCAACACTCCATTAACACCAATGGATACAACATCCAGACAGAAAATCAACAAGGATATTATAGAATTAAATGAAAAATTAGACCAGATGGACTTAATAGATATATATAGAACACTTCATCTAAAAACTGCAGGCTACACATTCTTCTCAAGTGCGCATGGAACATTCTCAAGAATAGACCATATTCTGGGAAACAAAGCAAGCATCAATAAATACAAGAGAGTTGAAATAATATCAAGCATCTTTTCTGATCACAATGCTATGAAACTAGAAATCAACTACAAGAATAAAGCAGAGAAAGGTGCAAAAATGTGGAGACTAAACAACATGCTACTGAACAAACAATGGATCATTGAAGAAATTAAAGAAGAAATCAAATATTATCTGGAGACAAATGAAAATGAGAACACGTCATACCAAATCATTTGGGATGCAGCAAAAGCAGTCCTAAGAGGGAAATTCATCACAATACAGGCTTACCTCACAAAACAAGAAAAAGCTCACATAAGCAACCTCAAACGACACCTAAGAGAATTAGAAAAAGAAGAACAAACAAAGCCCAGAGTCAGCAGAAGGAGGGAAATAATAAAAATAAGAGCAGAAATAAACGATATTGAAACTAAAAAGACAATAGAAAGGATCAATGAAACAAAGAGTTGGTTCTTCGAAAAAATTAACAAAATCGACAAACCCTTGCCCAGACTCACCAAGAAAAGAAGAGAGAAATCTCAAATAAATAAAATTAGGAATGAGAGAGGAGAAATCACAACAGATACCAAAGAAATACAAGGGATCATAAGAGAATACTATGAAAAACTATATGCCAACAAATTGAACAACCTAGAAGAAATGGACAAATTCCTGGACTCTTAAAACCTCCCCAAACTGAACCAGGAAGAAATGGAGAATCTGAATAGGCCAATCACAAGTAAAGAAATAGAAACAGTAATCAAAAACCTCCCCAAAAATAAGAGTCCAGGACCAGACCGCTTCTCTGGAGAATTCTACCAAACATTCAAAGAAGATTTAATACCTATCCTTCTCAAACTATTCCAGAAAATTGAGGAAGATGGAGTACTCCCCAACACATTCTATGAAGCCAACATCAGTCTGATCCCCAAACCTGACAAGGACAATACAAAGAAGGAGAACTACAGGCTGATATCACTGATGAACGTAGATGCAAAAATCCTCAACAAAATTCTGGCAAACTGAATACAGCAATACGTAAAAAAGATTATACACCATGATCAAGTGGGATTTACACCAGGGACACAGGGATGGTTCAACATCCGTAAGTCAATCAATGTGATACGCTACATTAACAAAATGAGAAACAAAAACCACATGATCATCTCAATAGATGCAGAGAAAGCATTCGACAAGATCCAGCATCCATTTATGATAAAAACCCTCAATAAAATGGGTATAGAAGGAAAGTACCTCAACATAATAAAAGCCATATATGACAAACCCACAGCCAACATCATACTCAATGGACAAAACCTGAAAGCTATCCCTCTGAGGACAGGAACAAGACAAGGGTGCCCACTTTCACCAATCCTATTCAACATAGTAGTGGAGGTGTTAGCCGGAGCAATTAGGCAGGAAAAAGAAATAAAATGAATCCAAATAGGCAATGAAGAAGTAAAACTCTCGCTGTTTGCAGCCGACATGATCTTATATATAGAAAACCCCAAAGAATCCATAGGAAAACTACTAGAAATAATGAACAGCTACAGCAAATTTGCAGGGTATAAAATCAACATGCATAAATCAGTATCATTTCTATACACAAACAATGAACCAACAGAAAAAGAACTCAAGAACTCAATCCCATTCACAATCACAACGAAAAGAATAAAATACCTTGGGATAAATTTAACCAAGGAAGTGAAAGATTTATACAATGAAAACTACAAGACTTTCTTGAAAGAAATGGACGACGACATAAAGAGATGGAAAGTCATTCCATGCACATGGATTGGAAGAATAAACATAGTTAAAATGTCCATACTACCTAAAGCAATCTACAAATTCAACGCTATCCCAGTCAGAATCCCAAGGGCATTCTTTACAGAAATTGAACAAAGAATCCTAAAATTCATATGGGGCAGCAGAAGACTGCAAATTGCTAAAACAATCCTGAGTAAGAAAAACAAAGCTGGAGGCATCACAATCCCCGATTTCAAAACATACTACAAAGCTACAGTGATCAAAACAGCATGGTACTGGTACAAAAACAGGTCCACAGATCAATGGAACAGAATTGAAAGCCCAGAGATAAAACCACACATCCATGGACAGCTAATCTTCGACTAAGGAGCTGAGGGCCTACAGTGGAAAAAAGAAAGTCTCTTCAACAAATGGTGTTGGGAAAACTGGACAGCCACATGTAAAAGAATGAAGATCGATCATTCTTTTTCACCATTCACAAAAATAAACTCAAAATGGATCAAAGACTTAAATATTAGGCCTGAAACAATAAGTCTTCTAGAAGAGAATATAGACAGTACACTCTTTGACATAA